ACAACTCTCACCATACACCCTCACTTGGCACCTCTTTTCAACTCTCTTGTACTATAAACATCTTGTATATTGGCACTGTACATAATGTCCATACACTGTAATTATCAAAAGGGGGATTGCATTTTAAGAGTTGTCTAATTTTTAGTCTTAAGTTGTAAAATGTAGATTCAGACCCACCGCCTTTACGCCTCTCATTATTACGCTTCCTTTACTGCCACTTAATTTTTGCTGCCCAGTACCTTTGCTCTCTCTCTCCTCCCCCTCCTCCTCCCAAGAGATAAATCCATTACTCCAGGTTAACCTTCAAGTTTCTCCCTCACATTTATGCACGTTCTTCTTGCATTTCCTCTGTGTACAGTTTTACGTATATTTGTCTCTCTTATTGCTCTCTTTATGTTGTTGTGGTCTTATTGTTGAGGCTAAGTGACGGTCCTCACTCATACACGTTGTCCCTGTCTGCCGCTTGTCCTCTTATTATCATGCACCACACAGCTGCAGTGTCTTCTCATCAGTCCCGCACCTCTCATGTTACAGGTCGTAAACTACCCTCGTACCTACGTTAAATTGTCTCGTCTCTGGTCTGAGGAGTTGTCGTTAGAGTCAACAACTGTCATTTAGTCTTGAATCTCAATGTTGCCTGACTCTTGAGCTGTGTGTGTGTGTCCCCGTGTTATTGGCTGTTCTCTGTGGTGGTTCGCGCATAGGTCCTAACTTAATACAGCTTCGTGTCCTCCTTCTCTCTTATTTAGCCACTGAATATCAAATTAGTTTCTATATTTGGTTAGCTCTTTACTCTTGTCATATGAAATTTGTTAGTGGTCCGTCTCTTCTTTTCTCTTTTCAGTCTTCTTTAGGATTGGGATTTTGCACCGTTTTTGTCATTGCTTTTCTATAAAGAATCCTCGCTCTTGTTTAACTTGACCGGGTTTTGCGTGCCTGTACGTTGGTCACATAGCGGCTGCACTACAACACATGGGATTCCCTTGTGTGTTATGGCGAGAGAAAGATTAGTCAACAGCATACGAGTTTATGTAGTGGATTTTTTTTTGGTGGTTCTTCACTCGGAGGAAGTCATCCCAGCCCATCACTCCCAGCCGTGAGCGTATACAATAAACTCATTCATCATAGTGCTTGTAACACAGCCATATAATAAACTTCTTAACCTAAGCTTCACGACATATATCTAGAAAAGGGGAAATATCCTCTGAAGAAACAATTATCTGAAATATTATTTATTGGTCTTTATATATTAAGGTCCTTTAACCCTTATGCAGCGATTGTGGCGTTTTAGAATTTTGTTCTGGTTACCACCAGGCGATTTAATGTAGCCTAGGGAAACATCCAGGAGCCACGCAATATTTTCTCTTTAGGTTTTTTATTGTATTTGAATAATCTCCGCCGCGTTGACACAAACAACATGATAACTAGTGCTCATTTCTTTGAAAGTCAGAGCTGCACACATCTTGTAGTATACTAGTTCCTCTGATACTAAGAGCTGGCCCTCCACTAGGCTCCATGCATCAGCCCTTGACAATCGTCACTTGATTGTCAGTTGACAGATGCCGGTAGAGGTTAATTTAACCCCTCCATCACTGGACGCCACTTTTAATATTTTATTTGACTCGCGCCAAACGATTTTGTTGAGCGCAGAGATCCTTCGCAATGCTTTCTTGGCCCGCTGTGTCCTCACATCACAATAAGTTTTGATAAGTTTACCGCTAATAAATATTAAGGAACACTGAGGGACCTCGCTGGTGAACTATTATGCGTGACCATGAACTTCTTCACAAATAAAATAAAATTATTTCCATTATCACGACGATCAGTGAAAAGTATGAGGAGCCTGTGAGAGATTCATGCCTGGCTGTGTGATATGCGTCCTTCTAGCGTTTTTGGGCTACTTCCCCGCCGCTGTACACTTTTATAGTGTATTGTGGTCAACCATGCATCTGAACTACCCTCTTCCTCACTCATGTCTCCCTCCTTAACACTTAATTATATAAAACCTCACAGCGGCCATCTAGTTGCTTTTTTGTGGGATGTCTTGTTCTTGTTTCTCTTTACCTCTTCGTTGTTCTCGGTTGTCTGTAAGATCTTTGTGTTGTCTAATGTATATAAGAGTCCCTGCATCTTCTCAGTTCCTTTGTAATTTTTTGTGTATTTCTAATGTATAAAAAGTTTGTGTGTCTAAATTCTCCTTATCTTAGCTTAAAATCGTCTTTATTTTATTTCTGTGACCTGCTTTCTTTTTCTTTGGCCTGGCACCCCGTTTTTCTCTCTGCTGTCCCCGTAGATGGTGTCTCGTGGGTAGATGTGCTCCATATCCCTGACACTGGTATGGCCCGTGTAAGGCTTGGGTAGTGGTGGTATGATGCACGCAGTTGTTGTAGTGTGTTGTTTGGGGCCGCAGGTGCGCAGGCAGAGGCGGCCTCCCCTTCCACGCGCTCACGACGAAGAGCTCAGCGCCGTGTCACCAGGAATGAGTCACGCTACCACTCCGGTAAGTACCTTGCTGGTGTCCTCTTCCCAACTAGCCGCCGCTACTGCGTAAGGTAAGTAATAATCTGTTGTGTAAAATGTCTAGTACCGGTACGTTTATTTTATTTTTTTGGGCAGAAAAAAATATGACTACATATTTAGTAAGTATCTGTATAATTTTCCTTATTTTCTTAATACTATTCATTGGTGCATCCTTGTAGTACGTGGTGAACGTAGGTGCCAGGATTTACACTAAACTTTTGATTCATTTATCGTAGAATAGGAAAGTGTGGTTGACATGGTTGGGTGGTTATGTAGGCTGTACCCCACCTAGCCCTGCTGACCACAGTCGACCGCCCATGAGCTACACTTTTTTGCTTCTTTTGAGGCTGAAACGAAAGGGAAAGTGGGTCGAGTGAAAAGGCTCATTGGTATTCAGAGTTTATTTATGAAAGGGCTACACTTCCATTCCAAGTGTAAAGATTGTTATTAAATGGGAATTGTGGTAGGACAGGAATGAGTTCACTTAACCAGAACAACGGGACGCTACACTTCTCGTAAATTGTTGTAGTGTATTATTTGCTGCTCTCGGCGTGAAGCTCCTTATATTTTACTGTGTTAAGGTGGTGAGGATGTTCAGATGAGAGTTGTCAAACCTTATGTGCTGTGTGTTGCTGGAAGTACAGAACTTATCTGGTGTGTGGGAAGTTGGGAACAGTGACTTCACCTGTCCTCTTTGTGGCCGTTATCAGAATGGGTAAAATTTTTTTAAGGGAGTCTTGTAGTAAAGTAATTTCAGAGTAGGTAACTAACTTTTAAGGTAACTATTTTTAAGGCGGTGTGACGGTGGTCAACAAATTTTTAAAGTAGCGTCACAGTAGATAAATAATTTGGAACATTTCATTAATTTAACACATCTTATATTATTCCTATAAATTGAAGTAAACAAAAGTTATATTTTCTTACTGGTGCACCAAACTTTTGGTGAGGATAATGTTTTGTGACGTCGGTGTGAGTAAGACTTTTGAAAGGGAAATTATTTTGTGATGCATTATTAGGTATTCATCTATTTTGTGATAAGTAATTGAGTTTTAATGTGTTTTTTAATATATAATTGGGTATACAGTAAACCGCCGATATAACGGACACTTTCTATAACGCACCTCTACTTTAACGGACCGGCCTCTCCCCCCCCACCAATTAGTCCGTTATATTGGGATTTTACTGTACAGTAGTGCGTTTACAAGGGGTCGTCAGGTTTTGTGCAGTGTGGCAGAGCTGTTTTTGTTTACATTCGACAGAAGGAAACTCGCAATAGTAAACATACTATGGAATCAAAGTAAAGCAATATTAAAACAAATATATCAAAGATAATGATTTGTGGAATGTTTATATGACGAGCCCCTGCAAACGCATTACCGGATAGTGAAGGGGACTGTGCATACAAGTGAATAAAATTTTAATTCAAGAAAAGGGAGCGAGAAAGAGCCTTTAAAAACTTTTCCTCCCTATTGTTCAGCGAAGTTATGATATCAAGAAACTTTCATCAATAAATATACAGTATAAGCTTCTGAGGGACACAATTTATTATCACTTTTGGTCACTATTATGCTTCTTAGAACTAGTTGGCAATAATTGCCGAGTTCTGGTCCAATTCGGTTAATTTTAACTCAAAACAAATATTAGTTTCGTTTTGTTAATGTTTTTACTGAATGGTTGACTGAGATGATTTTATTCCATCGAGGGACCCACTTCTTTGCTGACTGTGGTGACCTTATGACTTCCCTGGCCTTAAATGTATCTATGGCAGGTGTTTGGTTTTACTTTTTTTCATGTAAATTATGTCAGAAAATCTACTTAACAATTATTATTGGCTTATCATTCATACTATGTGCACTAATTATTTTATCGTTGAAATTACACAAGGTTTAAGTTGGAACTGTAGACGTGCATTTGAATTTATTTTTACAGCGATACCCTACAAAATAAAAGTCAATGAATTCTTAGATACAAGAATACATTTACAGTGTTGACTCATCTAGATTTAACATCGCGGGTTAGTTTTTGTAAAAGTTACCAGCACGGGATACGTATTAAAACGTATTTATGGGGGGTGTGGGTTCGAATCTGTATTGATGTGAAAGTATTGCGAGAATACTTTACTCCCTGGAGCCCTTGACGCGGTTGTTTACGATACTCTTGGCATTCACTACATAAATAAGCAAATAGCGCTCGTTGTCGGGAAATTTACAAATGTTTACTGTGCGTAAAAGGAAGGTGATGAGTAGGCGGCTCCGACCGAACAGTTGAATTTGCATAATTATTTGCGAAGAAAGGTGAGAGTTAGCATTACTTGGCCCGGGTGACCATTTCACCCAAGACTCGGTTAGGCTAGTCACGCGTGGCCGAGTATACGGGTGACTGGGGAAGCTTGCCAGGGTACTAGTAGGATGGAGGCTAGCCTGGGTAAGGGTAGGAGGAAGGCTGGCCTGGATAAGGGTAGGAGGAAGGCTGGCCTGGATAAGGTTAAGGGTAGGAAGGAGGCTGGTAAGGGTTGGATGGAGGCTGGCCTGGGTAAGGGTAGGATGGAGGCTGAGCCGTGTGTCAGGAGGCAAGTAGTAGTGTAGATGAGAGGTATGGGTATATTCTGCTGAAGATTCACTCACAAAAATAGTTAGAAATTTGGGAAGTTACACAAGAAAGAGTTTTAGTTGTTTCAAAATACTATGTACTACCGTAAGTCTTGAGAAATAAAAGAATTGCATGACGCATCCATAACGTTGTCATACCCCTTTTTAGTCCTGGGAAAAGTGTGAGGAGGGTGAACGTAAGTAGTATAAAGACTTGTTTATCGCCTAATATTCAGAAGAAAAAGTTATAGTGATGGCCTGTTTCAATGTAGAGTCCCCTTCACTAGTGCGTTTACAGAGGCACGTCAGGTTTTGTGCAGTGTGGCAGCCAGTGTTTGTTTGCATTCGACAGAAGGAAACTCACAATAGTAATCATACTCTGGAATAAAATTAAACAATATTAAAACAATTATCTCAATGTTATGATTTGTGGAATGTTTATATGGCGAGCCCCTGTAAACGTACTAGTGAAGGGGACTGTACATGAGTTAGCCAAAGAAGCCATCCGTTTTCTCTTGTGAGGTGCTGTCGGGACGACAGCGCCAACTAAAGTAAACACAATGTTCACGGAAAAATTTATAAATATAATACAAATTAAAATAAACTTTTACATTAAGACGGCAATAACGATGCATAAAGACACTCGGTAATGATAAAAATTACTTAAGGAATTGTCCCAAGCTTTCTGGAGAACCTATTTGAATGACAATAAACAAGAAAATGGAAACGACGATGCACAGAACCAAACAGGACCTGACCTAACTAACGTAACCAAACCAAGCCTACCTAACCTTACCTAACTTCCTAGCCGTCGGAGCATCTGGCGTATTAAGCAGAATGAACTTACTTTAATATCAGGTACCAATGAAAGTACTTTTCTTGAAGCGACATTGTGTATTTTAGAAAGTGGCTATATACAGGATCGTCTTGCAGCTACAGTAATTATAAAAGGCGGTCTTCTATATAGCCTTTTTGAATTAGCTGCAGAACGGTCCTGTCTAAAGCAACTTCAGCCGTATTTTACGGGGGTTTTTTGTGGACGTAAGAGTCCGATTGTTTCTTGCGCTGAAACATTTTTTTTCACTGTCAGATCTCTACCGCATTTTGAACACTTGCACGTCTTCCCAAGTAGTTCATATTGACAGATAAATTCTTGCAGACGGTCTTCATCATTCACAAGCACAGATAACTTGCGATAAGACACTGAACACGATGAGATAACAACGCCTTTGAAAAACAAGATGGCTAGCTTCTCCTATAATTAACGGTCCTTAAGTGTGGAAATGATTCTGGGTCGAGGGCTTTTCTAGTAGGTGTTCAACTTCACTGGTCAGGGGGGCTTAACATTGGTCCAGATTTACACACATACACTGACACAATTATCATCTTCACTCTGGGAACTGAAAGGGTGAAGTTTAGTCGTTGACCGTCTTTTTACAGAATATATTATATACAGAAACTGCCTCAACTATGACCCTGCCTTGAGTAACTGGCTTATCTGCCTTTACTGAGTCCCTGCCTGTTAAGAACTAACTAGAACTCTCGGCTCAGACGCCAGAGAGGGGAGGGTATGACGAATCCTCGCATGTTGTATTCGTATGATTTTCATTTAAGAGAGCCTGGGACACCAGTAGGGAGGTTTACGACGTAATATCAGCAATCCTACTTGTAGTTATGAAACTATTAATGTACTATTCCTAGTTATACTAAATTAAGATAACAATTTTGTGATGGCGTCTTACACTCCTTTAGGAAGAACATTAAGTATACGAATATACATTTCAGTTCGAATCCAATGATACTCGAAAGAAAATTTAAATATATACAAACCCATAATATGGGATTCGAATCCAACTGTATGAATCTCATCTTTTACACAATGAATAAATTCAGAAACCACATGTGCGAAAAGAAAAAAAGAGATGTAAGCAGACCATAAATTAGAAAACCGGGACAGTGAAGGGACAACCAAGCCAATATTTATGGTAATAAACCCCCCGATGTGAGGCTCCGTCGTTACTTGTAAATGTTTACAAAGACCTGGATCACAAATTTATAGTTTAAGAGCAGCGCCACGGGAGAACTCCCGGCGGAATATTTACTGTAAAACTGTTATTTCTTCGTCTACAAAGCACATGAAATTACTGCCATGGAATCAGGTGATTTATGATGGAAGATAGAAAAAACGGGAGGAGTTAAAATTACAGGAAAAAAGTTTTGTATAGTTTATTACGTACTGTGGAAAATATGAACGAATTCCATTCGTAATTTTTACTGCTAACTTTTTCCTCCACTATTACCAGGCATTCTCTTAAGCTGCAAGTTCAGTTGTACCCACACCTGAAGCGGATGACATTGGGCATTGTAATTCTTCTCTTAGTGTGGATTTGAC